TCAATTTTAAAACTAAATAAAAAATTTTTAGATTTATTCTAATTTATGTTTTTTATAACATTATTAAAATTTTCTTTATTCTCTTTTTTTTTTTGTATCTTTTTTAATTTAAAAAAATATGTTTGCTTCTTTTTACTTATTCATTTTCTTATTTGGAAATTACTATAACACTTTTTTCATTTTATCTCTCATTTTACGTTTTTGAATCAAGTTGTTTAATTTATTTTAAATGATTCATTTTATTATAAGTACAGTTCTTATTCAAAAAAAATGCTTTTCTGTTTGAACAATATTATTTGATACGTTAATTAAAAGCAGTGTCTTATAAATTAATGCATGACAATTGCATACGATATTAAGTACGTTTTTTTTCTTGACTAATTTAATGAATAATTTGTAATTTAATTATTTGCAAAGTGTATTAATAATTTAAAAGAAAATATTATTATTTTTGAGTTAGAGGTGAGACAGAACTATCACCTGAAGAATTAATAAAACTTGTTAAATTAAAAAAGAATAATAAAAATTATAAAACACAGAACTAAAAGAAATAAAAATCAAAAAAAATTGAAATTTAATTGAAATTATTGGTTAGGTTTAGAAAAAATAGAAATTTCAATTAGAATTCAATTATTTTTATATCAATAGTTCAATTTTTTCAATTAACAATTCAATCGTCCCCCTTTTTATGAAATTAAGTATCAGAATAGAAGAGAATGGAATAATAAAACATTGAAATTGAATTGAAATTCTTATTTTTAGTAAGGAAATAACTATCCAAGTTAATAAAAATATCAAAAAAGTTCTTATCGAACGATAAGGGTTGAAAACTTATATTTAAAGATTTGAGTTATCAACAGAATTCATTTAATAAACTGTGAAATGAAATACCTTGTCCAATGCCATATCCATATGCATGAAGATCGTGAACTCTTTGCTAAAATTCTTGCAATGCAAAATGAATCAAGAAAAGAAGAAGGTTGTATTAGTTATCTTGTTTGTCAAGAACCAACAAATACTTCTCATTACTTAATTCTTCAAAGATGGGAAGATAAAAAGTATTTTGAAAATCATTTAAATTCTAGTCATTATAAGAAATTTGTTGACTATATTCATTCAGTTACAAACAAACCAATTTCTTATGACTATTTTAATATTAATTAATTGTTGTTTATTTATTTTATTAATTAATAAAAAAAGAAATATTACAGATTTCATAAAAATTTATTATTAAAAGTTCATGAATGGATTATCATTAATAAAATATAATTATTAGTTTAATAAGTGAAATTTATATACTTTCTTATTTCAAATATTGTATTATCTTATTAAACTTTATTTGATTATTTGTTATTTATTATTATATTATTTATTTATTATTGTTATGTTTCTTTTGATTCATCATTTCTGTTTTATATTATTTCAATTAGTTTCATTCAGTATTATTTGTTATTTATCATCATTTCAATTTCATCATTTAAACATTATTAATTCATTGAAAATGAAAAATAAATAACAAATATTAGAATATAAAATCAAGAATATTTGAATGAATAAAATGAAGAAATTAAATATTTAAACAATAAGAAATAAATAAATTAAGAATATTAAAATTAAATAATATAATAACCAATATTGAGAAGATAATTTAATGATGAAAACATAAAAATGAATAGAAATATAATATAATAAATGATGAAAATAAACAAAATTGAAATAAATAAAAATATTTAAATAATGAATATACAATAAATAATGATAAATTGATAAAAAGGAAAGAATAAAATATCAAAAGAGAAAGAATAAATACATTTGAAATACAAGAAAAAAAAAGAATATTAATAATTTATCAAATGAAATTATATCATTAAAAAATAAACATAAGAATTAAATATTAAAAATAAGAAATTGATAAAAAATTAATTGAATTTAACATTGAAATTGAAATGAAAATATATGAATTAAATAATTTATCAAAATAAGAATAATTATTGATTGTTAATTTATCTAATTTAAAAGTAAAATATACAAAAATGAAAGAAGAGATAAATCAAATATTAAATTCATTTATTTCATAAATTATGAATGAATATAATAATATATTAAATAATGAAATATCATCAAATGAAACATCAAATAAAGATAATATAAAAAACAAATGAAGAAATATTGAATTATAACATATCATATATATGAAACATATCATAATAAAAATAATGAACAAATAATAAAGAGAGAAAAATATAACAATTTATAAATGATTTATACTATATTTATTAAAATAAAAATAAGAAATCAACTAAAAGAAGAATATAAAGAATAATACAAGAAAATAAAGTAGAATATAATAATAAACAACGGTCAATAATAAATAAAACATTTAAAATAAAAATAGAAGAAAAGAAGAAATAATACAAGAATAATAAAGAAGAAAAGAAATAATAAAATAAAGAATAAAGAATAAATACAAAAAATAATAAAGATAAATAAATAAGAAATTAAATA